TAACAGGGGCCGGGAGGCCTCTCCCTGACCTCAGGACTATAAGTCCACTCTAGCCAGTATTTAGGTTTTGTTTTTCCTGTGATTAACTACCTGCCTAGCACTTAGTTAAGGGGTTTTATTCCCTCCCTAACTTCAGGGAAAAATCCCTACCTGGGGAAACAACCTTTCTCGGAGAGGTGACCTTGGTTAAAACACATAGCGCCAAGAAGGTGAGCAAACATATTAAGAACAGTATGCCATGTATGCCAGGTCCCTTGAAACAGCAAGGATGGACCAGCTCCCGGCAGATGCTCCAACCAACGGAACCACACTGGCCAGGGACCACCTGTTTGAAGTAGCACCTCACCATTTTGTTTTACCTAAACCTGTTTCAATTAAATTTCAAAGGCATTTCTGAGACCCAAGTCAAGATCTGGGAGCAGCCATGCCTGCCTGAACTACACATCACAGGTTCATTCCCAATCCTCATTCCAGGAGGGGTCAGCCCCGACTTCGGGTTGGACTTTCTTTAGTAACACTACATCTTTAAGAACCAACATGGGCACACCTGCGGTCTGCAGTGCAACCTGGTGCAGCTGCTACAAACAGCAGGACGCCTGCCACAGCCAGCACACACAGGAGCAGGCACCTGGTGAGCGCAGGGTTTCCACGCCGCTGTCAGGGTCCAAGGCTCAGCTCTGCTCCTGTCACCACCCAACTCTGGAGCTTCCCCAACACCCCCAGCTGCAGCAGGAAATCACAGCCCAACACCAGCCTCTGCATCCACCAGTCCAGGCTGATAGGTGACCGCTCCTGGGCAAAGGCTCCGCTGACCTCCCAGCTCCCTCTTACCCAGACCTCTGGGCCCTGCAGAGCACACCACCCTGGGCAACCCTCCCTGTCAGCCTGCCCCACGCACCCCAACAGAGCCCCGCTGCCTTGTGTGGAGCATCCTGGGCCTTGAGCATGCTGTCTGTGCTATTAGTTTGTTTAACAAACATTTATGAAGCATCTGCCATGCACCATGTCCTTAAAGATGGAATCTGCCAGCAAACTAAATAAGCAGAACAGACAACACCCCTGTCCTGTAAGCCACGCCCCTGAGATGCAAGAGCGCCAGGGAAGACTGCGTTCTGTGTGAGCGCTGCTCGCTGACCAATGGCGCCACTGGAGCTCCTGCACCGCGTGCATTCTGATTCGTGTTTGCTGTCATCTCAGCACAGAGCAATGGTTTATAAAGTTGCTGTTGAATTCAACCTACTGCTGAGAAATTAAATACCAATTTTGGAAAAACAGATTTGAAAATATCTTAAAAGGAAGGCCATTTCTGTTCCAAGTATTTCATTATATAATTTTACACAGGAATAAATGGAGCATGTAGGTCATGACACACAGTGACACAGTAAACACCGTGACCCCACCCCTCAATCTAAATACTAAAAAGCAACAAAACCTTGACACTTCCTGCACTGTCCATTGGCCCTGTTCGCATCACCTGACTAGCTCCCTTGCTTTAAATTTTTTTCTGGTATGTTTCTTCCTCAACTATTTAGTTTAATTTTCTGAGCTTAAGAAAATGGTCTACCACTGTGGGTAGCCTTCTGTGAGCTGCTTCATTCTGCGTGTGCTGGACGTAGCTCTCACTCACTCATTTCCAGTACTGGACAAATTCCATGTTGTGCAGTGACTGCAATTCATCAATCCACTCTGTCATGGGAGGTGCTGCTCTGCACATCCCTGCGCCGTGCCTGGGGTGAGTTTCCTGAGGGCAGTGCCAGGCACGGAAGCCCCCGGGTGAGGCTGGCTCAGCAGGGGAGATGCAGAAGTTGTCAGCAAGAGTGAACAAACTGTTACACAATAGCAAACAAGCACAAAAGGTACTGGCATCTTCCTTCCTTAGGAAATCCAAATTAAATCTACAATGAGATACCACCACACACCTACTAGAACCACATCTACTGGAACAGCCTAAGAAAAGACTGGCAAGACCAAGAGCTGGTGAGGGTGAACTGTGTCCAGACTTCACACAGCTGGGGGATGCAGAATGGGCGGGCCACTCTGGAAAGACTCTGGAAGTTCCTTATAAAGTAAAATCCAGACTCATCACATGACCCATAGTCCCACTCCTAAGCATTTACCCAGGAGAAATGGAAATGGTGTTCACAAGGAAGAACCTGCTGGTGAATGGGTGTAACCGCCAAACCCCAGAAACACACGTGTCCTTGTGAATGGGGAGACAAGGGACACTGCCGTCTCCATTCAACTGGTGACTCTCAGGACACTGAGCAGCGAGAGGCCAGTCAGCACCAGGGCAGGGGACGGCCAGGCCCTCAGAAGGGTGATGGTTATACAAACCTCAGACTGTACATAAAAAAGTCCATTTTCTTCAACGTTTATTGAAAAGTAAAAGAGAAGAAAGAATCTGGGCTTGCATTTTATGTCTTATGATTTACTTTTCTAGTTCGTCATTTTCACAAAAGTATCACCAGTCTGTGACATTGGGAATTAAATATAAACACCTGGTCCTTCACCATACACAGTTCAGGAGGAAGAGA